CATCGGGCTCCCTGCTCCGCGGGAAGCCTGCTTCACCCTCTCTCACTCCCCCTGCTTGTGTTCCCTCTTGCTGTGTCTCTCTCTCTGTCAAATAAATAAAATCTTAAAAAAAAAAAAAAAAAGAAAGAAATCAAGAGTGGGACGCTTACCCGTCACTTAATTGACTGAGCCACCCAGTCGCCCCTAATTTCTTTAAACTTTTAACCATACAAATGTATTAGGTATTCAAGAAAAAGAAACAATTAAAATTTAAAAATAAAGTACATGCGTTTTTAAGACATTCACATTGTACAGTCATCACCACCATCCATCCCCATAACTGTTTTCATCTTGTAAATCTGAAACTTTATACCCATTAAACAATAACTTCCCCTTCCCCTCACCCTAGCCCCTGGCAACCACATACTTTCTGTCTCTATGATTTTAATTACTCTAAGTAACTCACACAAGTGGAATCATACAGTATTTGTCTTTTTGTGATTGGCTGATTTTACTTACTGTGCTGTGCCCATGATTCATCTGTATTGTAGCATAGTGCAGGATTTCCTTCCTATTTTTCCCCTTCCTTTTTAAGGCTGAATAATATTCCAGTAAATGAATATACCACATTTTGGTAACCCGTTCATCAGTTGATGGACACATGAGTTGTTTCCGTGTTTTAGCTATTGTGAAGAATGCTGCAATGAACAAGGGTCTACAAATCTTTGAGATGCTGCTTTCAATCCTTTTGGGTATATATCCAGAAGTGGAATTGCTGGATCACATGATAATTCTATTTTTATTTTTTATTTATTTATTATTTTATTAAAGATTTTATTTATTTATTTGAGAGAGAGAGAATGAGAGATAGCGAGCACGAGAGGGAAGAGGGTCAGAGGGAGAAGCAGACTCCCTGCCGAGCAGGGAGCCCGATGTGGGACTCGATCCCTGGACTCCAGGATCATGACCCGAGCTGAAGGCAATCGCTTAACCAACTGAGCCACCCAGCCGCCCGATAATTCTATTTTTAATTTTTTGAGGAACCATCATAATGTTTTGTTACTATTTTCCACAGCAGCGGTACCATTTTACATTCCCACTGACAAGTGTTCCAATTTCTTTACATCCTCACCAGCACTGATTTTCTGGTTTTTGTTTTTTGTTTGTTTGTTTATAGTAGCCCTCCTAATGGGTATGAAGTGGCATAGTTTATCTTTGGGGATCAGCAGTATGGTTAGTGGATATTGGTGTCAAACCCCCAAGACTTTGAGTGCTGCTACTTACTAGCCGTGTGACCTTGGACATTATCCTAGGCCTCAGTTTCCCCATTTGTAAAATCAGAGGGCTTGCCAGAATTGAACGCACATAAAACAATCAGGTCAAGGAAAGTACCCAACAAATGTAAGTTACTATCATTTCTGCCTTAAAAGCTCCAACAATAAGCCAAATTCTGATTTGCTCTGGCTCCTTTGGACCAGTTCTGGAGGCAAAGAGACAAACTACATTTCTCAAGGAGTTTTTCTACCTAGGGCCTTGAGTCTGGGGGACTTCATACGTTCTTCGCTCACATTCTTCCTGCTGCCCCCACCCGACCTGCAGACCTCCCACCTGTGCCAAATGAAGTGAGCTTGAAGTGAGGTTACTTAGAACCCAGCCAGTTTGTTTTCTCAGGGGTGGAGGACGGGAAGAAATCCTGTTGACACAGTTATGTAAAGCCTGTCATTCAGTCCCCTGCTTATTACCTCTGCAGACCGTTATGCATATTAAAGAAGGGGGGGCGGCAAATACAAAAGAAAAATAAGCGAGAAAGAGTGAGAGAGTGAACAAATCAGGATGCATGAGGGAATCCACGTGGTCGCCAATCTGTAACTGATCAGAGCAGCTACACTGAAGCAAAACCCCCAGCGCCTACCGCCAAATACATTGCAATGGAGAAACGGTCCACAATGGGGTGTCTATATCCTTACCAGAGTCTTGGGGCAGCCGCTTAAGAGACTCTCCCGCTACTCCCACCCCTTTTGCACCCAGTAAACCACGCGATGTAACAACGGAATCTGGTTGTGTGTGCGCTGTGAGTGTGCGCTTTGCAAACCATCTGGGCTCCATCCTGCGCGGTTGGAACGACGATCGATCCCGGACGAGTTGGGGGAGTTGGAGCTTGCCTGTGTCTCCTCCCTTTCTCTGCTCCTCTCTAGCCCCCACCCTACCGTTCCCCCAGCACTAACGTTTCGCCGGCGGAGGGACGTAGGTTTTCAGCACCAGGAGGCCGTGGACCTTCTCTGGAGGCGTGCAGTGCACCCTCCCGAGGGCCAGAGCTGATTGCAACCTGCTCACCACGACCCTCCCCCTCCTTCCCAAATTCGCCGCCCCAGGCTGTAATATTACAAGCAGTGTGCTCTGTACCCGTGCGGGAGTCCAGGAAGGCTGCGTGACCTTCCAGCGAACTCCACCTCGGCTGGGGGGATGGAGGCTGCCCCGGGGCCTGCAGGCTGTGCATCGATCCCCCAGCCTCAGCCAACACAAGTTCTCCCGGTACAAACCCCTCCCTCCCCTCTCCGCTTTTCCAGCGTTGTAGGCTTCTAACGCCTCGCTTGAGGCGCCCTCCCCTCTTTCCCGCAATAAAGTAAACCGGGTGGATATTCATCCCCCGCCCTCACCCTCCTCCTTCCTTCCCCCTCCCCCCTCAGCCTACTAACCCCGCGCACAGAGCTCGCCGCCGGCGGGCCCCTTCCACCCAGTGTATCATAATGCCCAACGCTCTTCTCCTCCCCCTCTCTTAATCAGAAACGTGCTCGCGAGCCCCCCTCCCTCTGCATGCATACATTAGGGTCTGCTTTGCATGCAGCGGCAGGCAGAGAACTGAGGAAGAAGGGGCGGGGGCGCTTTTGCCCGCCTCTTCCCTCCAGGCCCCGTTAGCCATCCAGCTTCAGCTTCGTTGTAACACCGCCTCGTTAGCGGAGCACGCCGTGGCCCCAATGCCCGGGCTGGAGAAACACGACCCAACTCTCTGCAAAAGGGCACGAGAGCCAGAGGTTCCTCAGCTCCGAGTGCACAGTAGGGCGAGGAGGTGGCGAGAGACCTGCCACTTGCTGTGTGCATTTTGGAGAGAGCTCCAGCATGAAAATGGGAGGGGCTCTCTCTCTTTTTTTTAATTTTTAAAGCGCGTTCATTGAGGGCCTTTCTATTTTGCATATAGTAAACTGGGCAACGCTTCCGTTTTGCATACGGCACAATAAGGGCCCTTTTATTCTAGAAGCGTTAAATGAGGGCTAACCCATCTTGTATCCGTGCCTCGAGGCAGAGAAGGCTCACTCGTCCCCGACCCGGCAGCCGCGCTATACTGGAAGCTGCTCTCCCGGGCGGTTCGATTCCCAGCGCATCCCGGGAACGTGTGTAATCGGCCTCTCGGCTCTCGAGGCTGCAGGCGGCCGGGCTCCCTCCGCCTCCATCCTCCCCGTAGTCCTCGCCCCCCTCCCCCTCTCCCCGGAACCCGCGCTCCGCGTCGGGCTCCTGGGCTTCCTTCCCCCCTCCTTTTCCCCAGCAATGCCGCTCCCGGAGGGCGGGGCATGCACTTATCCAGGTTGCGGGGCAGGCGGGCGGGCGGGCGGCGGCGGCCCGGGCCTCGGCCTGGCGGAGCCGCGGCCCGGCGTCGGGAGCGTAGGCCCGAGCCCGCTATACAGATTGCCGGGCGGGCGGGCGCGGCCCGGCGCTCTGCATAGCGGCCGGCCGGGTGCAGGCCTTCGGGCGGCGCCGAGCGGCTCAGGCAGGTTCCGGGGCCCTGGGCCCCCCCCTCCGCCTCCCCGCCCCCCTGTGTTGTCGCCTCTCCCTCTCGCTGCTTCACTTCACGGGGCGAACATGGCGCACAGCTGTCGGTGGCGCTTCCCCGCCCGACCCGGGACCACCGGGGGCGGCGGCGGCGGGGGGCGCCGGGGCCTGGGGGGCGCCCCGCGGCAACGCGTCCCGGCCCTGCTGCTTCCCCCCGGGCCCCCGGTCGGCGGCGGCGGCCCCGGGGCGCCCCCCTCCCCCCCGGCTGTGGCGGCGGCGGCGGCGGCGGCGGGAAGCAGCGGGGCTGGGGTTCCAGGGGGAGCGGCCGCCGCCTCAGCAGCCTCTTCGTCGTCCGCCTCGTCTTCGTCTTCGTCATCGTCCTCAGCCTCCTCTGGGCCGGCCCTGCTCCGGGTGGGCCCGGGCTTCGACGCGGCGCTGCAGGTCTCGGCCGCCATCGGCACCAACCTGCGCCGGTTCCGGGCTGTGTTTGGGGAGAGCGGCGGGGGAGGCGGCAGCGGAGAGGTAAGGGGGCGAGGAACCCCCAGGTCCGGGGTCTCGACCCTCTGCGGAGCCCCCCTCCCCTCCCCCATCCGGGATTGTGGAGCATCCCAATTCCGGGACCCTCCTGGAGTCCCTGACCCGGGGCGAACGGCCCTCCCATCTTGGGACCCCGTACATGGGTGCAGACCCCCAGGCGCCCCCACCCCGGGGTTTGGACCCATCTGGCTAAGGGCGTTTGCCCCCCCTTCATTCCCCTGACCCTTCCCCAAATCCCTTGGCACAGACCCCTCGCCGGGGTTTCCCATCCCGGGACTGAACCCCTCCTCCCTTTCACAGATTACCTCATCCGAGCAAGATTCCTCCCTCCCTCCCTCCTAGAGACCTGATCCCGCCACATCCCCGCCTCCCTCTCTGGGCAGATGTTTTACTCTTGGGGCAGTTTTCCTCTTGGGCATCTCTCGGGTGATGGCCTCATCCAGGGCCACGTTCTTCTCCTACCCCTTGGGGACCGATGTCCCTTCCAGCACCTTGTTTCCGAAAACCTGATGAACCCTCGCCCCATCCCCGGGCCAGGTCCCTGCACTACCAGCCACTCCCCCTTCCTTCACCTCCACCCTCCATCCTCCACCCCCCACCCCACGCAGCTAGAGCCTCCCTCCTCCTCCTTCCCTACCCCGCCAGGAAAAATCTACTTTCCTCTCCACCTTGCCTCCCTTCCCCTCCTTTCCCTCTGAAGATAACGGTGATCTCTCCTCGTCCAGCCGTCTGTTTCCCCCATTTTACAGAGCTACAGTTTCTAGCCTGCTGGTAGCCGGGAATTACTCTACCTTCACTCCACCCTTTCCCTCCTTTAGGATGAAGGATTAGTGGCATCTTTGGGAGGAAAATAGTCCACTGTCCCCTAGGCTCAGAGAGGAGCAGCTTTCCACCATTCCCCCTGGAGAGGAGGCAGGCTTTTCCTCCAGCTCTGGGGAAGGGGGCCCCTGCGAGGGGAGGTGTTTGTGGGGGGACTTGGGCAGCATCCTCCCAGGGGAAGCAGCTGCTCTCCTACCCCACCCACTGCGCCTGAGAGCACGCAGTCTCCAACCCTACCTCCCTCCCGCCCTTCTCCTCTTTTCCGTCATTTCGCTATTGATCCACCTTTTCCTAGGCCAATCCTGGGGCTTGGAAGGGGTGGGGGAAGCAGGGTTGGGGTGAGGAGAGTAGATAAGGGACAGTTTTACTTTATTATGCTGGTGGTGGTGGTTGCTTTTGGTTGGGAGAAGGGGGGGCTATGAAGCAAAGTTATTCCTTAGAAGGAGGAGTTAGGGTTATCTCTCTGATTCTTATAGGGGGACCCGAGGTGGATGAAGGGGTCAAGAGCTTTGCTCCTTCCCCATTAGTACCGGGGCGGGAATGGGGATGCCTTGATGAGCATCATTCAGCCCCCTCCAGCAAAAAGGAAAGTTGCCCTGGGAAGGGAAGTTGAGTTCAGGTTCAGCCAGTGGCGTTGCGCATTTGTTTTCCATTGGATGCAGAAGGGGGAGTTTGAATTGTAGGGGAGGGGGGAGAATGAGATGCGGGATGCTAGGAGGAGGAAGAGCAGCTGCTAGGGGCTGAAGCGGAGGGGGGGGTAGGGGGTTGCTGCTCTGGAGTGCTCTTGATTGAAACAGAAAGGGAAAGATAACAACCAGCCGTTTCCTGCGTGCTCTGCCGTTGGTCCCGGGCAAACCCCTTGTCCCCTATTGTGCCCTGCACCCCTCTAGATATACGGAAAGATCCTGGGAAGAAGGGGAGGGAGGAGGTCCCAGAGACCCTGGCCCCTCCTTTCAAGGAGCTGGCATTTTTTAGTTGTTAGTCTTCCTGCCTCCTTTTTAAAATCGTTTCTAAGGCAGCCTGATCAGGAGACTGACAACAACCCGCCTTCTGACAGAGCAGGGAGGACATGATGGGGGCGTGTTCCTTGCTATGTAGCTAGCTAGCTGCAGCGTCCCTCTTCCCAGCCTCTCTCTGCTCTCTCCACCTCCTTTTCCCAGCCTTCAGAAGGCAGCTGCAGTCAGCAGGGTTGATTGAGACTATTTATTGGTTGCTGTAGATTATTATTTTTTTTTGAAAGGCCAATTCTGTATTTTTTAAGCTAACAACACAGATCCCATGTAGTTGGAGAACCAAAGGCCTCATACATGACAAAAAGACTGAACCGTTCAGGTTACTTGCATGGAGTTGGTGCTTAAATGTGAGTTGATTTTGCTTTTTTAAAAGATACAGCAGCAAAAAAAAAAAAAAAAAAGACTTACTGACATTTCATTTACCTGCTTATTTTCGAAATTGAGACTTGCCTGGTTATATGTAGCATTTTAGCCCCATGTATATTTGAGTATAATAAGAAAGTCTGTATTAGGAGGAGTTAGTCTATTTTAAGGGGATCCTGAGAAGTATTTTCTTCTTGTTTAGCATGCTTATGTATTTTGTATCAAGGGACGAAGTGTTCACATTCCAAATGTTGTTATCACATATTCAAAAGCAAAGTTTTATGCTGACAGCTTGCAATCGTAGCTTTTCAAGAGACTGGTTAGAAAGAGAGCCACCTGGATTCAGGGACCTAATGTCTGGGCACCAGAATATTTTATCTGTTGGTCTTTGACAAATCACCTTTAAAGTTTTAATCAGGTGCTAACACTTCCTTATCCACCAGCATTATATTGCTGAGCAGTGGTATATGTAGTGCCAAGCCTGTTAAGGAACTGCAGTTACTTCACATAAGATTAGATTAATACGTTGTTGTTTTAAGACTTTTGCCTGAACATACTTTAGTCTGAGAAGAGTGGTTGACTCCTTACATTCAACTTCATTATTTTTTCTGAATTGGGTTTGAATGAGCTGTTGTTCCATTGGTAAGCTTTTTATGTGATAGTTGGAGGCAATCTGGTATGGGTTGATAAGTGCTAACGCATAGTATGGCTTAGGACTAAATCACTTAGTAGTGATTGGATCCTTTGACCTGGTAGTTTTCAGTGTAGAAACCAAGCATTTTGTTACAGAGTCTCACAAATCAATGATAAGGTTCCAAAAGGGAAGTTCAGGGTTCCCCTGGGCTGACATACTTAACGGAATTCTAAAGATTGTTTCTCAGAATTCACTCACAGATCTGTATCAAGGCTTGTCTGGATTCATGAAGAAATGGTTTTGTGACCTAAAATGAGTCTAGCCTCTTTAAATTCTGGTTTGCTTTAAGTGAATAATGACTGTAACTTGTCTGTGATGAAACGGAAGTTAATACTTAGAGAACTAATAAGTTCAGGTGGTTGAAAGGTGATAGAACTTCCAGATCACGTCCCTGTTTAAAATCCTTTAGCCATGGGAGACTAGTCCTTCACTGCCACTGGTCCCCAACTTCCCTTGGACTGAATATCTCTGGGTAACAGCTACATGTAAGAGTTCTTTATGACCAAATTCTGCCAGAATGGGATTATTTTTAAAAAATATGTAGGTGTTGCTGGTCTCCTCTATATGGGCTTTTTGTCTGACAGTCAGGAAGTAGAATTTAAGTTTGATTTTACTGAGCGCAGTAGGAAATCACAGAGGTCTGCTGCTTCATCTGCCCTTTCCCCTCCATATTGTCCCACTTTTCTGAGGATTGTCTCAGGTAATGATAATGCCACCATACTTTGCCATCTAAATAAACATGGTACAGCATCCTCTCTGTTGACTAGAATTTGAGCTGTTTTTAATATAAACCCCGCAAGTGGTTTATATATCAGCATCTAGTCTGTTTATTAATTCCATAATCCACTTACCTTCCTTACCACCTCATAAAATGTTAAAAGCAAAATTTCCACCCGGATCATAAAGTGGCACATTTTAAGTAGTTATAAATTGAAACTGAATGACAACATTGGTGTCTATTTGTTTTCATTTGAAATGGCGGTTTAGTTGAGGTGGACTAAGGCACACTCTTGGTTGGGCCTAGAAAAGATGATGTTCCTGTAGGCAGAAGGTAGTTGGAGAGTATCTGTAATTTTGTTTTTTTGTTTTGTTTTGGATGTTCACTGGGCATATGTACCAAGAGGGGGAGTTGTTCTTTCATGGCCTTAACAGCTAATCCTGAGCTTGACAGAGGGAAAATGAAGCAGAGAACACAAGGGGAATAGAAGAAGCCTCAGAGTGGAAGTTAGTGGACAAGGGCTCTCCATGCACTCATCTCTCTCACTGACCAGTTATGGGACCTTGGGCAGTTCACTTTTAACCTTGAATATCTGATCTGTAAAATGAAAAGGTCGGGCTAAATATTAGCTCATGAATCTTTTCTGCTCCAGGATTCCGATTCTTTTCTATTATATAATTTTTTTGGTCAGGTCAGAACTTCTTATTCTGTGTTTGTTTGTTTGTTATTTATTTATTAAAGATTTTATTTGTTTGACAGAGAGAGGCACAGCGAGAGAGGGAACACAAGCGGGGGGAGTGGGAGAGGGGGAAGCAGGCTTCCCGCGGAGCAGGGAGCCTGATGTGGGGCTCGATCCCAGGACCCTGGGACCATGACCTGAGCTGAAGGTGGACGCTTAACGACTGAGCCACCCAGGCACCCCTCTGCGTTTATTTAAAGAGTCAGAGTCAGTGAGCCTATTTGGTAATTTTTAATATTAGTCTGTACATTTGCCCATTTAATCGGCGTAATTGTTGGGAAGAAAAATTTCAACTTAGTGGGAAAGTTTTCATTGTATGGACAAAATATAAGGACTGAAGTGTATGGAAAAAGTTCTTTGCTGGAATTGACCAATTTCATTTATAAGAAGTGAAGATCAGATTTTAAATACAAATCATTATCTTGTGTTGAGAGGCCCTCTTGTTTGACTAAGTTTGTTTCATGTTTTCCGTGTTGTAGATTCCTGACTGCAAAGGGAAGTTATTTTCAGTCTAGGTGGTGTATTCCTTTAAGTGTGTGAGCTTTTAAATGAAAAGAAAAATACTGTGCATTAATGAATTTCTAAATCCAAAGTGACAGTACCTATGTTGCAGGGAGCAGCTGGTAATAGGCTCTGAAATGTAGGACTTTGGTTTATACTGAGCATCAGAAATGTAGTCTTTAGAACTTTTCTTCATTCTCACTGAGAACCATATGATGTCCCCATCTCTTCCTTCCATTTGATTGTCTTAAGGCACAGTGCTCCCGTAGGAAACCATCATTCACAAAATAGTGATTTGCCTTCTGATTAGAAGTTGAGAAGAGAAAATACTCCCATCTTGACTCCATTTCCATATCTTTGCTCACCTTAAAGCTGTCCTTCTGTAGAGCCTGTGTGCAGATACCCATTGCCTCCCTTGCCCTGTAGCTAGAGGGGGTGGCGGGGTACTTTGCTTGCTCTGAGGCATAACACTCTGCAGTGCCTCTCCCTCTTTTGGAGACTCACTGTTTTAATTGTAGGTCTCCTAATTAAGATCTCTTTGTGCCTGCCCACATTCCACTAGTGTTGGCACAGGACTTCAGTTTCCTTCTAGCACTTAACTTGAAGGCCTTCGGTAGGGCCTTTTGTTAATATCTTGTCTTTCCATTCTTCCTCTGCCAAGGTGGAGAGCCCAGTGGCGTAGACCTTTGAGAAAGAGGGAAGCTATGTGACTACTACTTTGGGAGGAATTTACTCCAGGATTGCTGGGATGGGAACCTCTGTTGTCTGCATATGTTATTTTCAGGGATTAAGGAAGGTTAAATTATTAATGAGTCTGACATACCTACCTGTGCTTTTTAATCAGATTTTTTAACCCTGTGGGCACTAGTAGGAAAGAGCTCGCCGTTAAAAAGTACTTGTTTGGGTCTTACCTAGATTGGTTTAAAGTTTGATAAATACAGTTTTATCATGGATTAAATCACAGACTCATGATTTTTGTGAACTGGTAGGTTGTAAAGATAATCAAATGAAATTATTGATAGCTCCTGAATTGTATCAGATTTTAAAACATAGACCGAGTGAACATTAACTTTGAGATTTGAATGAACTTTTTTCATTAGAAAAGACTTCGGGAGGTTCTAGAAATTATTGAGTTAATTAGGAATACTCTTGTAGGTTCCAGTTTTTCTTGCGAAGTTTGGGAATTGGCTAGGCTTCTAGAGTAGTTTCAGAAGAGGGGAGAATAATTTCACTTTGTTTCCAGTATACTAATGCTCAAAATGCAGCCTATCCTTTAATGGATCTAAATGCGGCATGCTAGAGGAAATGCAGTCTTTATTAGGAAAAAGGAATCTTAAATCCTTCACCTGGGCCCAGATGGTTTCATTGATCACATCAGTATGAGGCAGGCAGACAAAGGGCTACTTTTTTGTTGTTATTGTCATGTCATTGGTTGTGAAGAAAGCCTGAAAGAAGGAAGTATAGGATCTTTATGGCATGCATTAAATAAAGCTGGAGGCCTGCGCTCTTATACCTGAGTGGGTGGTTTTATGGCCTAATTCTCTAATTGCTGGCATTTATGACAGTGTGGATGCTACTGGCCCTGTGGCCGAGGTGGATTATGTTGGGAATAGGGAGAGAAAAGGGGTCCTTTTGTTGGCCTTTTCATTTCCCCCCCAATAAGATCTCCGAGAAGGCCCCGAGGAAATGCACAGACTCTTGAACTGAGGGAATGATATCCCATAAAATGGTTCTTTATGTTTTTAAAAAGGATGAGCTGCTTTTCTTGACCTATCCAAAGAAATCCATACCACCACTGTTAAATATTTCAGTGAGCTTTGTACCTTGTCAGGTTACACACCAGGGGAAGCTGACCCATGAGGCTGTAGCCACTGCCAGACGGTTGCTTTTTAAAGACCAAGGCATTTGAAAGATGAATTTTGTCGTGTGATTTGTAGTTGTTTGGGATGATATAAGTCCCCTTGTAGGATTCGTACAAAACTTCTTAGGGGCCAAACTTGGCTTCACTTTTTAGATGTTGGACATCTTTAATGAGCTTTAGTTTTGAAGAAATAGAGATAGAAATGTAAGAGTTAGTTGACAGTTTTCTGCACTGGCTATGAAAATTCCCCTTCCTTTGAAATGAGTAGTTGTTTTTCTATTTGACAAATAGACTGAAGGGATTTCCCCAGAAAACTTACCTTTAATTATCAGGACAGCAATGCTTTGTGTCCCACCAGTGGGGCAGATCTCTTCCACTGGCATTTATCTCTAGAGTTGGAGTTTCTTTCATATATTTTATCTCTTGCATTTTTGTTGTTATGTTTGGTTGGAATGCTTGGGTGTAGATATT